ACTTAGGCTTGGGCCGCGGCTCAGACTCGGAGGTAAGGTTAATTTTGTCAAAGATGTAAATTTTGGCATCATCGATCACTAAAACGTGTGCAAAATGCACCTTACCCAAAGATATGCCGTATTGATGTTGATCGCGGCACACTTCATAACAGTACTAAAGTTAGTCTGTCGTCAAAGGTGAACAAATGGTAATCATCCTTACTGTACGGAACTGATGAGTCTAGTCACGCAAATCTGATCCAATCAAGCTTGGATAGTTGGTGATTTTCAGCGATCCGTATTGGTGGACCTATTCACATTTCAACTGATGGATCAAATGTTAGTGACGAACAGTTTCGATCGTCTACTCGTTGTCTACATGCCAATTTCATATTTCAAAGCAGTGGAGCGATTTGTGATCGTTGAAATCACGGTTGCCGTCCTGCTAATGCTTGTGCTCGAGATATTCACTGTCATCGCTGCACGTTCCGGTGGCGTTATGGTCACCCCAACAGCATGCATGTAACACTTTGAAATACACTTTTGCCCAGTTCTTATTGAAACATTTCAGCAGAATTTTTCTCGAAATTTAAGAAATTCTGTCCAACTTGAGTCTTGTGTAAGCCTATCCATAGAGGTGATGAAGTGACAGACAATGTGTCATTGTGAGCGTCAGATAAGGCAAAACTACTGGAAACGATTACAGTTCCTTTTGACAACTGCACTCAATCTGTTAGATCGGATGGTTAAAGTATTCATGAGTCGGAAGGAAAGCTGAAGAGATTAAGCGGATGGTAATTCATTATCTGTGTTGATTTCGAAAACGATTGTTACCTGTTAGATGACTTCAAGCGATACAAGTATTGTTTAGTGGAGATAGTTTCAGATTGACCGATCAAATGTCAGCTGCCGCGTACACGCTGAATTTGAGTGTCCGTTTGTTCAACTCTCTGCTGTCGATAGTTTTGATGGTATTTGTCGTAATCAAATTGAGATGTTATCTGAGTCGATCGCTGAGTATGCGAAAAGACTCGGCCGTGGATAATTATATACGAAAGCAAACTGGCTTCACCACAGCGATGATTTTCTCCTGTTGTTTCACATTTGGTAGAGTCTTACCATTGTGTCTATAACTGCTCCTATTATGCCATCAGTGGGACTGCCTTAAGAGTAACTCGATTTCCCGTTAAGCAATTACGTACATGCGGACAATTCCACTTTTTCCTCTCATCACTTTCAACTCCGATCAGCACCCAATTCAATTCAGAAGCTTGATAAGATCTCAGGTGCGCATGTTGTTCAGTTTCGATCAATTTCGTGTTTCAGCTCTGGACACGATTCCAAATGCCGTCATGGTGTATTCATATTTAACACATTCGCCGAATTACGGTAAAGTGGTATGGTACGCAAGGATGGCGTGTATGTTCAATGCGGTGAACATGGTGCTTGTGGTGATGTGCCGAAAGACAGAAATACGTGAACGTTTACTGTTATTTGTGCAAAAGTGGAATCCATTCAAGAGACGCGTCACCGTTATTTCTGTGCAACAACGAGCACCGAACGCTCAGAAAATTACCACTTTTACGTCTTCTAATTGATCACTACAGATCACACACACGTCCTGAGACGTTTCGCATTACTATTGTGCTCATTTAATCAGTAAATTAAACTCCATACGAGTTTATGCCTCCTTGTTATCACCAATATCACTAATATCACATTCTTCCTTCCTTGGCATTCTTCTTTCCGTGCAGCTAACGACAATAGCGTTTGGAATCATCTGTCTTCATGAAATTCGAACTTGGATTATTGATCTCTCATAAACTATTATGCTCATCTTCCCACAATTCTCATTGATTACCCATAAGATTCCCAATACGGCCTGATATTGAACACTAGATGGAATCGATGAAGTGAGGTTTTTCACACGACTGAAGTTAATCTGAATGTAGTGTGTCTCGGGTTAAATGCCTTGCTGAGATAACCGTGAAATACTAGAACTCTGTAAACATCTGATGGAATGTCATTCCAGGCAATAGCGATTAAGATGTTGACATTCTATAATCTTTTATACAAATCTTCTCAACATCTCAAAATTGCGTGGATGCTTATTGTCCTCTTGAGGATCTTTACATGTTTGGTTCACACGTTATTTCATAGCTATATTTGGCTCATTGCATAGTTTAATGAGAATTTTGCCGAATAAAACGAATGCTGCTGCAAATCTGAGCACTGCACTCATCGCTCATTCGAAGAATCTTTCAAACCATGTGTTTTTTAGATTTATTCAAGTTCAGTTTTATCGGTACGAAGGTATATTTCGACTGTATTCGATGTGAACATCTCAAATAAATGTGTCAAAAACGTGAGAGCATAAATTCTACACTAACTACTTTCCACAACTGAATCACGAGTGCATGCTATCATGTATGATTTGATGAAGGCTATTCTGCTGAACAGCTGAAAGCATTTTACCACAGCAATTTTCCGAACTGCCATTCGGAACGCTCTCCGATGAATTCTTTTCAATAGAGCAGTTATCGGAGGGGACGGAACACTGCTCAGAACATTGACACCTTCTTAGTTCACGAAATAACAGTCGTAAATCAAAAATTATACAAATTCTAACACCGTTAAGAAAGGATGCAGAATCTACACGGAGTTTTTGTCATCAATATATATTTGAAATTCAAATGCAACATGGTGTGAATGATGATATGAAAATGCCAACAAGAGATGATAATGATACACACATTATGCGAAGTAAGCAATTTCTTTGAATGGATCATGATTCTTAACAAATTAAAGTCCTTTGTTGTAGTAAACAAGTGAGTGTTTCTGGCCAATCTTCTCCTGAAGATCCTTCTCCAATTTGCTCACTTCAATGCAACTCCACTGCGGGAACAGTGCACAGCACATCGGTGTCGATATGGCCAAAACAAATCCGCAAAGAACCGTTTGCATAATAACGTTCGCATAACGGCTATTCTGTAAGGTCGATCATTCATGAACTCATTGCTAACTTAATCGTTAACAATACTACTTATCATATAAGTTCTCGAACTTGTCTTCTAATGAAGTCCGATGATTTTGTCAAAGTAACATTCCAATGTTGATTCCGCTCCTTACCCAACCCTAATAGCAACCAACTGCTCTAATTATGGTACAACCACCAGATGGACAGACGTGTGTTCTTGTTCTGAGAACGAAACGAAACAGATGAACACTCACTCGGTACCATTGTTTCTTCATCATTTGATGAGCGATTGCAGGAGTGATTACTGTAAGTTCAAAGCAACTGATACGAAACGAAAATTCAAAGATTACATTATCACATGAAGTCTACTACTAGTATCGCAGCAAGCAAGCATGACATTAAAATTGTATCGTTAGTAACGTTGAATAAGTTAAAAGTGAAGTCTGAAGTGTAACATCTAATGAACTCTGAAATTCTTTTACACAAACCGAATAAGAAGCGGAATAAAAGAACTGTTTTACCGACTGGGACGTCATGGAAATTGATGTAAAACTCACTCATATACGGAGAAGCCATGCCGATTCGACTGATCACCACCTGTGATATCGCTCGAGGCGCAACAGCTCGGCTACTGCCCAGCTTGTTACCGTCTTTATCACAAACATCAATACCTTCTCGAAGTTCGCTGAAAGAAACGACTAGGATCTAGCCATCCTCGTTGATGCAGTGCACATGGAGAAGTTCAGATTGCTATTTCGATCGACACAATTTCACTGATCACAAACAAGCATTTGACGTGACAAATGGGCAATTTTGATTGCGTGCGAGATCAAATCTGAGAATTCTTTTTTTTGCCATATCCGTGGTTTGAAACATACCAAATGGCTTTTCCTGTGAATGTCAAAGACAAATTATGACTAAGCAATTCTCCACGGATACTTAATCTCAATAAGCATTCTTAAGATAACATCGTAACCGGGCATAGGATAACATACACGTTTCTCATCATCGGTATATTGATGGCATTTGCCACTGCAATCGCGATGAACGGTACGAGACGTTGAATGAGTGGGTGTAGATTCTGAAACATATCAATTTGACTAGCACTCGCAAGTTCATTGCTTATTGAATACTTCCGTTCCACTGTCACTAAATCTTTGATGTTTGTGATTTGGATCGTCATGAAATTGCGTTCATCTCTTATTCTGATGATCATGAAATGTGCTATTTTATCCGTATTCCAGGCAAATAAATCCATTGGAATGGAAATCTGTAAGTTCCAAACCTTAACGACTGAGTTCAAACTCAACGCGGCTGTTACCGCTCCACCCGTAGCACAAACGTACGCTGTCAATAAACCTTTCATTGTAATTTTACTATCGCCCGAGCGATTTGTCCAATTCACGACGGCATTGAACGACTGATTAAACCAATGCCAAAATAACAGACCAGGTAGATTCCTATAAGTGATGCACCATAACGATAACTATGGTTATATGATGAACTTGAGGTGAGTATACAGGATTACAAATCAGAACGTTGCAATCTGTCATTATGGTCAGTTTTAATCATTCTCCTAGAGTCAACCGGTAGAATGGATAGAATTGAATCACGTTAATGGAAAATCCACTCACGAACGTAAGAAACTGATAAATTCGTATCATCGTTCATCATTGAGTTCAATGCAATCATCCGATTCGTTTCACAATCAAATTCATACTTACTGATATGTTGTAAGAAGACCACCAGTGATAATCATATTGCATGGGCACTGAGCGCTCATCCGTCCGATCAATATCATTTTCTTGCCGGTTGTTGCGTGATAAGCTGAATCGTAAATAGCCTTCCTTCGCCACAATTCGTCAACAGTCATTTGCTCGTCAACAATGCCATTTCTGAGATATTTTCAAGATTCACGATCGTCTTTTGAACATGTCACGGTAAAAACATGCGCCTAATTAAGTACTAATTTTGCCATGGAAATTGACAACTTAGTCGAGTAAATAATCTACCTGTAATCAAGTACGGTCTTTTGAGCAGCTTCAATTTCAGCATTTGAATGAAATAGATTCATTGGATTTGCGGTGGTCCAAAAATGTCGGAGGCGGCCCTGATAGGTATTCTGAGGCCATCTAGGCTTCGAAATATCTGGTCGTTTTGATACTGGTAATTTACCGAGTAATTCCGACATAGGGCCGCAAATCTGAAAGTATGATCAGTTTATGATGTTATTTTACCAGACGATATGACTGACATGAACACGTTTAAGTATCCCTGAGATAACAATTACATTCACTGATTCTGAACAATTAAGTCGACTAATGTTTATTTCTATGTTTATTCTGAAAATATACAAGATTTTCGGAATGATCGTTAAGTCAGTCAATCTACTGACTCCCGACGCAATCTCCCACTATGGCGGAAAACCGCTTAGATTAATAAGCTCATCTTATACTCAAATAAGGGACCAAAGCTGAGAGAACAATGTAAAATATCACAATAACACGTTGTTCGGACACTTTCATCCACCCCACTTCAAAACTAACGATTCATTACAACAAACCTTCTCATAAGCGTCAATCCTACACAATACGTTGAAACTAAAAACTGTTGATCTAAATAAGAGTATGCAAATTATACTGAATACGTGATATGCAATGTACTTGTAGCCTCGTTGCATAATATGCAAAATTCAATCACTGATCTGACACTAATATTAAGGCTAATCTTAAGAATTCACAAATCATTCGTTGACCTGAACGCATGAATCTATTCAACATAATCAATTCTTTTGTCTCTATTGAGTTCGAAGAAGTGAAATCAACTCAAATCGATCACTCTACTAAAATGCACGTTATTATGACCGACGTTGCGATCAGACTTTAATTATTTATAATCGCTCACAATCAGAGTTTTGTGTTTGGAAGTAGGTCCATCGAAAATGCATTGAATCATGGAATTTGATTGAAACAATGCTCATTTTAACAAGTTGCTTATGAAACAATCGTATGGAACAAATGGAATGAGTCACATCAAGTGCATTATTACAAAAACAATATCACAGCTCTAATCAGAGTTTATTTTAATGTAATCGCTTGAAAATGGTTTGTTTAAAACGTTTTGCATTTCGCTCATCGATAGCATTCATTGCCGTTTGTTTCATTCATCATCATGAGAGCACTGAAGTTCAGTAATTGAAATTTTTATGCCGCTGCAATCAGGTCGATCATCGGGGTTACCTCCTTGTCTGATCGAAAAACTGCTTGCAATTAGTGACTATGTTTAGTCGGTTACTAATCGACTGTTCAACTGCGTAATTTTTCAGGCGGCTCGAAACTGGCTACTGCCTCATCAGTTTTGCTTAATTGCTGATATCCAGATCCATTATTTTCCACCAACTTTAAGTTTGGTACTTGAAATGGTTTCATTGCAGTTACAACAACATTGACAACTCATATCTTGTGCAATAGGTTTTTCAGTTTCTTTCTGAATTTCAGGTGATTTTTTGAGATTACTACCAACAAAA